TGCCCCTAACTGCCCTCCCCTGCTGGCCTGATCTCACTTCCAACTGCCCTCCCCTGCCGGCCTGATCTCGCCCCCAACTGCTCTCCCCTGCCAGCCTGATTGCCCCTAACTGCCTCTGCCTGCCTGATCACCCCTAATTGCCCTCCCTTGCCGGCGTGATCTCGCCACCAACTTCCCTCCCCTGCAGGCCAATTTGGTTTTGATTGGTCGGTTTCTATGCCAGTCAGCGTCAAAAGCTCCACCTCCAACCAGCCATTGACTCCTCACAGTTCACCCAGATTTGGTTCTGATTGGTCAGTTTCTATGCCAGCCAGCATCTCTGGGCCTTATCTCCAGGCCTGATCAGAGAGGCGGGGCTGATCAGCAGCCCCCATGGAGGCCCGGAGAGAAAGAGAGAGGCAGTGGCGGATCAGAGCCTGCCTCTCTCTCCTGGCCTCTCTCCAGGCCTGATCAGCAGCCCCCTCAGCAGTCAGTGCTGGGTCGCTGCGCCCGCACCAGCAGGAGTCAGTGATTGACTTCCGTGTTCGGTCAAGCCTTCGGTCAGTCATTACGGACCCTGGGTTTTTATATATGATGTTCCCCTGAAGCTTCATAAAGATTCTCTCTTCATTCTAATTCCCTCAAAATATATACACTGCTGCTAACAGACTCTCATTGACATGGTGATCTCCACATTTATAAACTAAAGTTAACTGTTACCAAGAAGGAACTATTAGAAGATTGAATAACTCAAACATAATAATCTTGAACCTTTCCCTAAATAAGCCACTACTATTTCTTCTACAACATTTTACCTCTACTTACCTTTCCCACCTCTATTTATTTCATGAAGTAGTTTAATGCCAACTTTTTTCATATCTATAGAGAACAGATAAAGTATAGCGAGACAAAAAGGTAAAAATGGTGGTTTTCCATCCCATTCTTTAGTGAGACACTGAATTAATCCATAGTGGGGACATAACTTTATTAGCTGCATCAGGTCATCTGAAAGCAAAAATGAAAGAAAAAATACATATATATTTATTTATTTATAATTCTCACCCGAGGATTCCATTGTTTTTAGAGAGAGTGGAAGAGAGAGGGAAAGACAGAGAGAAATATCGATGTGAGAGAAACACATTGATTGGTTGCCTTCTGCATGCACCCTGACCAGGGCCCAGTTGGGGAGGAGCCTGCAACCAAGGTACATGTCCATGACCAGAATTGAACCTGAGGACCCTTGGGTCCACAGGCTGACACTCTATCCACTGAGCCAAAAACCGGCTAGGGCTGTTTGACTATATCTGGATGCTCATATTTGGTCCAACTTCTAGTGAATATAATGCCTTTCTTTCCGTGCCTGCACAGAAAAAGGGCTTCATAATTTTTTTCCTAACAATATAAAGTATTCAGAAACTAAAAAATGAAGATTTCAAGAAGCCATTAGCTAGTTTAAGTAGCTGGAGGTTAAGCCAGATGAAGTTGCTTACAGTTGACCATTTTTTACTCCAAAAAAGTAATTTCATATGGTTTAATCTATTGGTTAACCGCTGAGGTAATTTAGGTAATCCAAAGCTACAATCGTGATTTATATCCTTAAAATGTATACTTTGTGTTAACTTGCTAAATTTTTAAAAAATATTTCTTTATTGATTTCAGAGAGGGAGGGAGAAGGAGAGAGAGAAACATCAATGATGAGAGAGAATCATTGATCAGCTGCCTCCTGCATACCCCCTACTGGGGATTGAGCCTGCAAACTGGGCACATGCCCTTGACCAGAATCCAGCCCAGGACCCTTCAGTCCACAGGCCAACGCCCTATCCACTGAGCCAAACCAGCTGGGGCAACTTCCTAAATTTTTTAAAGTAAAAATGTTCTTCTTGGATCACAACACAGGTAATTTTCAGAATAATTTCTGATAGACTTTGAAGAACTATCATAAACACAATCTGAACTCCGAAAGACAATATAAAGTAACCTAGTGTTTATTACTTACTGTACTGGAAACTTATATATATTAGATCACTGCATTTAATACTTAGTATAAGTGAGATATTATTATTCTCACATTACAAGTGAGGAAGCAGGCTTAAAGAAGTTAATTTTCCCAGGTTATACATATGGTATAAAGTAGAACAATTCATATGATCCCCAGAGTCTATGACCTTCCAATCCATAGTGCTGCTCCTCCAAAACAATAATTACATGTGTGTGCACTGAATGTATGCAGGTATACACATACATGCACACAAACACAGAGAAATTGTAAAAGAGGAAACAAGGAATAACAGAATACAATTCTATGTCAATGCAGTTAAACAATTTTTAGAAATTCCCTAGGGATGAAAGATAAATTTATGATTTGGGTCAAACTATCCTCTAGTAAGGTGAAGCTATTTCTATAGCACCCCCAGCCTCCAACATTTCCTAACTCACCCGTGTTCTCCTTTTCATTCAATCAGGTATTTGAATCCCCTTCTCTATTAATTCATTAATTAATCAATATTTACTCAATTATATGCAAGATATGGTCTCCGACTAATCAGAAAGGACACAAATTCAAATCCTATGACCTTTCCCCACAGCTTATGACACTTCAGAATCCATTTCCTTATCCCTTGGTTTGATATATTATTCATCATAATTTATCTCATGAATGTTCTGTTTTAATAAAATTCTAAGATATGGTATTTGTTTAACTCATAAATACCTAGAACAGTGGTTCTTAAAATATGGTCTAGGGCAGTGGTTGGCAAACTCATTACACAACAGAGCCAAATATCAACAGTACAACGATTGAAATTTCTTTTGAGAGCCAAATTTTTTAAACTTAAACTATACAGGTAGGTACATTGTTATTAACTTAATTAGGGTACTCGTAAGGCTTAGGAAGAGCCACACTCAAGGGGCCAAAGAGCCGCATGTGGCTCGCGAGCCGCAGTTTGCCGGCCACGGGTCTAGAGTCTATAAAGTCAAAACTACTTTCATGAAAATACGAACTTGTTACTTGCCTTTTTGCTTGTCATTCTCTCACAAGGACACAGGGGTGCTTTCCAGAGGCTACGACATGTGATATTACAACAAACTGAATATGGGAGCAAATATGGAAAACCATATACCTTCTATTAAACCAGCCATTACAGAGATTTGCAAAACTATAAAACAATGTCACTCTTTTCATGAAACTATTTGGTGTTGGAAAGTCACTTTTCATTAAAAAAATATTTATAATATGTAAAGATTTATTTTAAATGAATAAATTAATATTTTAAAATTTTATATTTCTCTTAAAATAAATATCAATAGATATTATCAACATAACTAAAAGCTCTTTGTGATCATCAGTGCTTTTTAAAAGTGTAGAGGAGGACTGAGCCCAGAAAGCTTGAGAGCCTCACCTCAGATCTAGAATAAGCTAGTTTCCAGAGAAGTACATTTATTTGTTTAATGATAATGAAGAAGGTGAACACGCAATCATTTCAGGCTTTATTCTAGAAATTATTAGGAGGAAAAAAACCAAAATGATTCTTTACTTCTAAAACAGATACTCTATTAGCTTTATGCTTTGGGAACAAAAGACTTTTCTGGTTTTGTTTTTGTGTGTGTTTTTAATTTGTAAATGTAAAGCTGATAATTTAAATCTGAGGGAGAACATTTTTCTCTGAAACCAGAAAGTATTACCAAACTATACCTGTCCTCCGAGGCCTTGGAAAGATGATACCTTTGAAAGCTATAGTTGTTTCTCATTAAAAAGTAAAATGAGCCCTAACCGGTTTGGCTCGGTGGATGGAGCGTCGGCCTGTGGACTGAAAGGTCTCAGGTTCGATTCCGGTCAAGGGCATGTAACGTGGTTGTGGGCACATCCCCAGTAGGAGATGTGCAGGAGGCGGCTGATCGATGTTTCTCTCTCATCGATGTTTCTAACTCTCTATCCCTTTCCCTTCCTCTCTGTAAAAAATCAATAAAAATATTTTTTAAAAAAAGTAAAATGAACAAAGTAATTTTCAAACAATGTTTGTATCTTTTAAGTTTAATTTTTCTCAGGTTATTATTATTTTCATCTGATGATGTTATACTAAATAAATTCTGCAGATAAATATCAAGGTTCTAATTATTTAAGAGTGCTATTACTTAATTATTATACTATATTTAATTATTTTAGAGCAGTGGTTCTCAACTTGTGGGTCGCAACCCCTTTGGGGGTCGAACGACCCTTTCACAGGGGTCGCCTAAGACCATCGGAAAACACATATATAATTACATATTGTTTTTGTGATTAATCACTATGCTTTAATTATGTTCAATTTGTAACAATGAAAATACATCCTGCATATCAGATATTTACATGATGATTCATAACAGCAGCAACATTACAGTTATGAAGTAGCAACGAAAATAATTTTATGGTTGGGGGTCACCACAACATGAGGAACTGTATTAAAGGGTCGCGGCATTAGAAAGGTTGAGAACCACTGTTCTAGAGGAACAGAATAATCATGTTCTAAGAGTAATTAAAAACCTATATTCCATGCCTGAACCCTGACTAAAATAATTCTTACCTATGGAAAAATAATAATACAAAAATTGAATCTGTATACTTAGATAATTATAAAATATATCATTGGAAAGTGTACATAAAATGAATATTGAGTAGTTTCTACTATGCCAGATTTTGTTCTGTTATTGTGTGCATATAGGCAAATTACTTACCTTTCTGTCCTTAGCCTCTCTGGACACATAGGTGTGTCTTTTTTTCCATCTATAAAATTGGGATCATACTAAAACCTACCTCATAGCCCTAACCGGTTTGGCTCAGTGGATAGAGCGTCAGCCTTGCGGACTCAAGGGTCCCAGGTTCGATTCCGGTCAAGGGCATGTACCTTGGTTGCGGGCACATCCCCAGTAGGGAGTGTGCAGAAGACAGCTGATCGATGTTTCTCTCTCACTGATGTTTCTAACTCTCTATCCCTCTCCCTTCCTCTTTGTAAAAAAATCAATAAAATATATTTTTTTTAAAAAAACCTACCTCATAGAGTTAACATAAGGATTAAATGAGATAATTCATATAAAAAGCTGAACTATTATCTATTTTACAGTAATAGTATCAGGCATGCTGTTATATAGTGAATGAAGAAATTAGTAACTTTATAAAAGAAATTCTAAGTAAAAGTCCATTTATTGTTTGAAAATTACCAGATTCAATAGCCATAAAATATCCTTTTTTTGGGAAAATGTGACCTAAAAGTGCTACATTTTATTTCATTTTGCAACTGGGGTACACAGCCTGCACATTGGGACTGCCGCTGCCAGGGATATGGGGAGCTGTCAGGACTGCCTGTACATTGACATAACTGCTGAACCAGATTCATAATAAGAGATCAGATCGTTAGACTAGGGTCACCCTAAAAAGTCCACAATTCTCAGATCACTGCCCAGTTGCAACCTAGGTGTTTCAAATTTTGAAATGAATTTTATTTCACCAATTTTTCATTTCTAATGCTTATATCATAATTCAGAACATTTATATATATAATATATATATAATATATATATAATATATATATAATATACTTATTATATATATTATATTACATATAATATATATAATAAGTTCAGTTTTTTAATCCTTTAAGTAGTATGGCATAACATATCTGCAAAATGTATCTTTAAAACTGTATATTTCAGGACCATCCAGTTTATTAAATGTTTATGTATTGAGAAAACATGTAATATCTTTGAAGGTCAAGCATGAAAGTCAAACAGCTTAAGCTTAACTGTTTTACTGAAAATTACAAAAGAAATCTACTAGTACTTATCATTATATGCAAAATGGACTTTATAATGTAAAGCCAAAATATTGCCTACTAACACAGGTGATCTTACAATTAAAGTCCAGAATTCAAACATATATAAATAAGTAGGCTTTATTACTTACCAGAAGTAAAGTCCTTGAGTTGTTGTATGTATTCCATGGCCTCATGAAGCTGATCCTGTTTACACAGGCAGAGAATAACTTTGTTGAACAGGTTACATTTACTGTAGATGATCTGAGCTAAAGCCAGGCACTTGGCCTTGTTATGAGTATCCTGATCTCCATAATCACAAATCACATCCCCAGCCTCCTCAGAAAATGTGAGCCTAAAGCAAGGAAATCAATAAGGCACACATTACTGAGTTCTTAATGAGAGGATAAAAATGAAGTCTTGGAAAACTCAGCACAGTAGAACTGGAATTTCTACGGTCTATAAGAATTCCAAGTTAATAGGCAATTAATGTCGGAGAAATTAAATACATCTAAAATTTAACAGCAAGAAGAAAAACAATTAGCATATATTCCTTTGGAGGAAGACATTTTGGCAAAACTGAGCTCAAGTTATTCAAAAACCTATAAACAATGTTAAAACTCTCCTGGAAAGACTGGAGGGATTTCAAAATATAAGGTAAACAAAAATTCTGGCCACCCTCCTCCGCCTTTCCTCCGAGATTCCGCACTCTGTTCCATGCTTCCATGTCTCTTGATCCTCTCTGTTCATCAGTTTATTTTATTAATTAGATTCCATATATGAGTGCGATCATGTGATACTTGTCTTTCTCTGACTGACTTATTTCATTTAGCATGATACTCTCCAGGTCCCTCCATGCTATCTCAAAGAAAACTATTAAATTTTTGAGAATGAACAACTTTATTAACCAAATACCAAAATTAAGTTCAATTTTGCTTACCTTTCTTGAGTGACCCAGTGGATAACTAAATCTAAACGTTTTTCCGAAAGTCCACATTTGATTCCTTCCAGGGTTAGTTCTGCATTAATAGGACGTCTATTAGCATGACTTGTGCTAAAGATAGCCTCAAAAAATGAGAGTAATGGAAAAGGCTTTCCTCTAATTTTTCCAGCAGCTACAGAGAAAAATAGACCTTTTAAGTAAAATACTTTAATAGTTTGCTTTGTCTTATTTCATATTATTTTCATCTCTTTGCATTTTTTAAAAAATTTAATCTAAAATTACATATTTGTAATTTTTGTTTGTTTTTGTTGTTAATCCTCATTCAAGGACATTTTTCCATTGATTTTCAGAGAGAGTGAAAGGAAGGGGGAGAGGCAGAGAGAGGAACATCAATGTGAGAGGAACACATCAATTGGCTGCCTCCCCCATGCACCCCGGCCAGGGCCAGGGATTGGACCTGCAACTGAGGTATGTGGCATAGACCGGAATCGAACCCAGAACCCTTCAGTCTGCAGGCCAATGTCCTATCCACTGAGCCTAACAGGCTGGGGCCATATTTGTAATTTTTAACTAATGCTTATGGATTAAACATTCTATTTTGGATAATGACTAAACATTAAATGCGATGTAAAAACCAAGGCAGAGATTGGAGTGATTATAAGCCAAGGAATGCCAAACATTGTTGTCAGCCACCTAGAAACTAGGAGAAAAGCATGAAATATAATCTCTCTCAGAGCCTCCAAAAGGAACTTTAAAAAGCTGATCTTCACTATAAGAAATGATAAAGGTAGTCTTTCAAGCAGAAAGAAAATGATACTAGGGAGGAATACAAATCTACAAAAGGAATGAAGACCAAAAATGGTATATGCTCTGAACATAAGAATTTAGAAATATATTATTTTTATATAATATGTTAAGTTGTACAATATCACCTGAGAGTAGCATGTGATAAATATTTAATCTATAAACCCTAAAGTAACAACCAAAATAAATCAACAAAAATTTATAGCTCGTAAATCAACAAAGGAGAAAAATGAAATCATAAAAAAATTGAACTAATCCAAAAGAAGGCAGAAAAAGAGAGAAGGTAACAAAGAAGAGTTGAGGAAAACAGCAAACAAAACTGAACCATGTCAATAATCATATTAAATATAAATGATCTAAACACTGCATTTGAAAAAGATTGTCAGATTGTATAAAAAAAAAGTAGGACCCAAGTATATGTTATCTAGAAGGCATTGACTTTAAAGACACAAATAAATTAAAAGTATGAAAAATATACACACTAATATTTATCAAAAGAAAGATGGATTGCCACTTCTAATCTCAAAATTTACTAGAAAACCATAGTAATTAAGATAGTATGATACTGGCATATGATGAATATCTAGAGCAATAGGATAAATTAAGAGTTCAGAAATAAACCCTGGCCAATTGACTTTTGACAAAGGGGCCAAAAAATTCAATGGATAAAGGAAAGTCTTTTTCTTAACAAATGGTGCTGGGAAAACTAGATACCCACATCTAGAAAGGAATGAATTTGGACCCCTACGTCCCACTATACACCAAAATGAACTTATACTACATGACAGACCTAAATACATAAACTCTTAGAAGAAAACACAGGATCTTAAGTTAGGCAAGGAGTTCTTAGATACAACAGCAAAAGCACAGAAATAAAAGAAAAAATTCATAAACTGAATTTCATCAGAATTAAACATTTTTATTCTTCAAAAAATACCATCAAGAAAGTAAAAGAATAATCCACAGACTGGAAGAAAATATTTCTATATCATCTATACGATAAGGGAATATAGAAAGAATTCTTGCAACTCATTAATAAAAACACAAATACTGCATACTCTCCCTCCCGAGCCTTTCTCCTCCCCCTCCCTCTCTTCTCCATCTTTCTCCCTTGTACTGTTACAGCTCAGGAAACTGAGTAAAAGGTAGAAAGAGATAAGACTGGAGCCTAGATCTTTCGTCTCCCAGTTCAATACTCTTTCCATTCTATCATGGGGGAAAGTATAGCTGCATACATATAGAAGGTTCAGAGAGAAATGCTTACCCTTAAATTTATTCACTGTCCCAATGTTTAGAAGAATTCCTCTAGGACTTTTTGCTGCAAAACAAGCGGCCTTCTCATATTCACCAAGTGAGATTAATTCATTGAACCTACAGCCATTACATTTCATTATACATTATAAATAGTAAACAAAAAAGAAAACTGATTAGGAATCTCTAATATACACTAAACACAGTCGCATAGTAATATAGAAAAGCAATTCTAATAAATGATAATGAGATTCATTTACTCTATAAGAGGTTATTTCACTTCTTTCCCTAATATTCTATCATTTTTGTACCCTCAGAAAAAAACTCTCATCTGCCAGCTGTGAACCTGATCCTGTACTTTATTCCTATACTACTTTATAGCAAGCCATAGAAAATAAACAGAATTCGAGGTGAAGTTACAATGAGCTCAGATTTTTTTCTCTCAGATCGTCTCCAGATAAAAGGGGGTGTCAGGGAAAAGAAGGGCAAGCTGCTTAGAGGCTCATCTGGGGGAAATATGAAATGAACACAAAGGCTGCCAAGTTGAAGATCAAGAGGTACCCTTGGTATTCAGAATTTATGTTGCTCTGCAGATTCCCAACTAAATATGAGATTAACACAAGAAGAAAAGATAATAGTTCAAATAACTTAAGCCTCTACTCCTCTTCCTAGGGCAAAATATCTTCAAATCAGGCCTTACCTCAAAATTAATAAAACTATGACAAACACCCGTTTACACAGTGTTGCAATTGAATGTGGAATCCCAGAGGGGAAAAATATCAAATATTAAGTAAAATACATAAAACGTTTAACCTCAACAAGGTTTTTTCTTGAGCTGGCAGACTTAGAGAAGCACACAGTGTAAGGAAATATAATGGGCTTTGGTGCCCCTCCCGCCCCCACAAAATAATCTTCACTCCTTATTTGTATCATATCAACATGCAAATCAACAGTTGAAAACTTTTTCACATATAAGATTAGGAACATTAAATATATTCATTACATATGGACTTTATAGCCTATGAAGTAACCTCTTAAAGAATAAAGTCTTAAATTTCTTTAAGCCTCTATTTTACACTATAAATAATAACTTAAGTATTGGGCAAAAATATGCCAGTTGGTGAGGCTCAGTGGTTGAGCATTGACCCAGGAACCAAGAGGTCACCAGATTGATTCCCAGTCCAGGCACATGCCCAGGTTGTGGCCTCAACCCCCGGTCCCCCGTGGGGGGCATATGAGGGGATGTTCCTCTCTCATCGATGTTTCTCTCTCTTTATCCTTCTCCCTTACCCTCTCCCTAAAAATTAATAAAAACATATTTAGGAAAATATTTTTAATATCAAGTTGATGATGAGGGAATGCAAGAAAAGTATAAATAAAACTTTAATCAACACTACAAACCACCTATATTCTCTGAAATATTTCCTTGACTACTAATCTAGTATTTTTTAAAATATATTTGTATTGATTTCAGAGAGGAAGGGAAAGGGAGAGAGATATAGAAACTTCAATGATGAGAGAGAACCATCGATTGGCTGCTTCCTGTATGCCCCACACTGAGGATCAAGCCCAAAACCTGGGCATATGCCCTGACCAGGAATCGAACTGTGACCTCCTGGTTCATAGGTCAACGCTCAACCACTGAGCCACGCTGGCTGGGCCCAATCTAGTATTTTATCACAGAGAATTATCATTTAAAATTCTACCTTATTTTCTAATTTGTCTATTAGAATTAAAAAAAAATTGCAATGTCTACCATGCATGCAGAAGGAATGAAACAGTTATTCCATTTCAATTTACAATGGCCCAATGTTATTTTATCCCATGCATATAACTGCTCAGATCATTGAAAAGACTATGACAACAAATAAATGGGAAGTACTAGGGTAAAATTTTAAAGATACAAAAGCTAGAGACTATAGCTCATCAAGATGCTAAATAAATGCTAAACATTTAATTAATAAATATTAAAGATGTATTTAATAAGTATTTAAATACATATTAAATGATTGCAATATTATTTTAACAAGGAAAATCCAAGCTTTAAAAATATTTGCCTTTCAATGTAGGAAAGCAAAATTTCAGCTTCGTTTGCCTTGCCTGGATCATCTTCCAATAGCTCTTCAATAAAGCTTTGGTTACCTATAAATATCGAAAGATCCACCAGATGATATTTAAGGTTATACATTAATAGAAACTATTAAGCATGCAGATGTTTAATACCAACCACTTAATGCTATAGTTTCTAATAGAATCAACCTCTTCTAAACTGAGTGCCTCCCTTTCCTTTTTTCTTATTTTAAGGTACATTTTCAGGTATTATATCTTTGGTTCACCAAGTCTACTCTTTACCAATTATCTGTCAGCTATTGAAGGAAGAAGCCTATAGGATAACAGAGACCTAACCAAAATAAGTACATTTTTGCTTTCCTTAAACTCTATCTAGGAAAATTCCCACTCATTAGCTTTCTGTGCATTGGGGGAAGAAGTAATGTTTTCCATTATTTGTGTTAATTAAATATATCAATAAACTACCATGTAAATCTTGGATTTGCTCAATTTGCTTCACGAAGTCTTCAAATGAACTGCTCTTATCAGATTTTACCCATGAAGTAAGTGCATATAAAATAATCTGCAGTCTTCGATGACTATAAAGATAAAAACATCAACAACAGACTGAATCTAAAATCAAAATGTAATATTAGAATAAACACATATAAAAGCTTCAAACTTTAAAAATAATCAACTTGCATACCGAAACTCTAATTCTTTGTTCAGACTTTCAGCTACATTTTGCCGTTTTACTATCACAATCATTTCCTCCTCTAAATCTGCCTTCCTCTGAAATGGGACATATTTTTTTGACATCAGTTGTTTAATTTCTGCATATTTATCTTCCAGATGTTTCAGGTATTTATTGAGAGCATCTAAATTGAAGGATTCTTCGAGAATCATGCCTATGGGAAAGGGAACAAATCAAACCAGCCAAGCCATGGGTGGGACTCTTGTGCAAAAATGCAAAATATGTCAGTGAGTTCTCTATGTCAGGAAATGACTAAGAAATGGTAGCACACAATTGGAATTAGCATACAATTTTTAAATGGCTAGCAGTTTTTAAACATACCAGTGAATATTCTAGAAAGACTTTAGCACTTTAGCATCATTTGTTGTTGTTGTTAATCCTCACCGGAGGATATTTTTCCATTGGTTTTTAGGGAGAGGGAGAGAGAGGGAAAGACAGAGAGAAACATCGACGTGAGAGAAACACATCAATTGGTTGCCTCTTGCACCTGCAGGAGCCCCAACCAAGGGCCCAGGCTGGGGAGGAGCCTGCAACCGAGGTAGGTGCCCTTGACCAGAATCAAACTCGGGACCCTTTGGTCCGCAGGCCGACATTCTATCCACTGAGCCAACCCAGCTAGGGCCACACTTTAGCATCTTAAGAAAGAATTTTTGAACGACCTCATCACCATACCCTGCAAACCCCTAAATATTACTGTTACTCAATAACACTAAGAGCTTCTGCCTAACAACTCAGGATTTCTGACCAGTAATTTCTCTCTAACCAAATCTTCCATTAAACTATTCCTGCTAACCCCAGGGTAATGTTTATTCTCTGCAATGAAAAGCTTATAAATCCCAGCCATATCTCAGTTCTCTCTCCCTCTCAAATTGCCCCTTTTACTCATTATTCATCACACACACACACACACACACACACACACACACACAAACACGCACACGCACTCGCCAAATGATTTCCCTTCTCATTCAGGCTAATTGTTGCCTTTAAAGGTATATCTCAAAATTCTCCTCCAGAAACCCTTTTGGATTAATCCTACTCAATTTTGATCATTACCCTACCCTGAATCCTCTAGGCATTTAATCAATTTATCTGTTATTCTGTACTTATTCATATGTATCTTATTTATGTTTTGTTAGTTATAATTTTACATTTGAAAGGAAATCTAGCCCCTACCTCCGCCTAACACAGGCTGACTGATCATTCAACCTCAGTTGAAATCCTCTGGTGTGGAATAGCTTATTATTTCAAGACATAGCTTCTTCCACTGAATCCAAATCCTACTTCCTAAAATTTCCACCTATTGATTCTGCTTTTGGGTAAACACTAGTTGACATCCATAAAAGTTTTGAATACAGTTATCTATTCTCAAAGCCGTCTTGTCCCCAGGGTGAATATTTATAATTCCTCTATATTCATCATATAAAGCTCTCAGCTTCCTGAATAAATTCCAGGAGACAGAATGCTACTTGCACTTCCCCAGATACACTTGTCCTCACTTTTGTCTCCTTTAGTTGTTCATTTACCCAGCAAAAAAAAGTTTCCTGAGCCTGTTTGAGAAAACCTCCCGATTAAATATTAGGAAAAAAAAATCCAGGATACACTACAATTTCTCAAAATGTGGCTTAGCTGAAGATGAGGAACCAGTGAATGCTGACATAAATATGAATCAACAATATTCACAGAACCTAACACACGACAGTTTTTCATGTATTATACCATGGGGTCTCAAACTCTAGAGTACAGCAGACTAACCTGAGACCTTGTTAAAACACTGATTGTTGGGCTCTACCCCCACCTCACCCCAGTCCCATGCCCAGAATTCTGACACAGTAAGTCTGCACTGGGGTCAAAGAATGTGCATTTCTAACAGGTTCCCAGTTAATGCCGATGTTGACCAGGAACCACAATTTAATATTCTGTATATAGTCCAGTCAGTCTGGAACTCTTTTAATCTTTTAGGGTTTTCTCATTCTCGTTTCTATCTAGAGTCCTGGCTAAAGTTGTTTGTAAAGGATGGATAAAGTCCTGTTGTACTCGGAAGATCTATACATGGCACATACATATTAACTTGTGTAATAGGTAATTAGAATTTCTTTCAAATATTTTACACAAAATATAGTACCTGGAATAGGTTTTGAAGGGTCTTTGAAGAAAGGAAAATGTTTTAGTTCTTCCACATCATACTCTGCCCTAAGTTGTTTTATTTTGTCTATTTGCAATTGAATATTTGAGGAATTATTTTCAATAACCTTCATTCTGGAAAACAAAAAGGCATTCTTATGTTACTTTCAACTAACTTAATTATTTAATCATAAGATTTATAATAAAACAGGTTAAATCATTATTTTATTTTGCTTAATTGTCATTTTGAACCATTATGGATTTAGGTGGAAGTTTACAAAACAGTGCCCCATAAAAAGTTTACTAACCTCATAGTGAGGAACAATTTTCTTTCAGAGCAGCAATACTATGACTCACAACCTTATTGGAAATTTGTAATGTTAAACATAATAGTCTGGCCACAAAGCACTATCTATTCCCTTTAGTTGAAAATTACCTTTGCATTGAAAATTCATTTTTCAAAGTAATTATCCATTTCTTAGGGCTGTCATAGCAAATTACCACAAACTTGGTGGCTTAAAACAACAGAAATTTATTTTCTCTCTGTTCTGGAGACCAGCAAAATCAGTATCGCTGGGCCAAAACCAGAGTGCTGTCGGGCCCATGCTTCCTCTAGACCAGCTAGGGGAGACTTCGCTGCTGGCCTTTTCCAGCTGCCTTCGTGGCTGCATCACTTCAATCTCTGGCTTCCCGGTCGCATTCCCTTCTCCCCTTGTCTTTGTCAACACTTCCTTTGCCCTTCTCTTATAAGGACACTTGTGATTGAGATTAGGAAATTTGTGACACTTGTAACACCCACCTGGATAATCTGAGATAATCTCCCTATTTCCAGATCTTTAATGTAATCACATCTGCAAAGACCCCTTTCCCAAATAAAGTAACATTTCCAGGTAGGTTCTCAGGATGAGGACCTTCTATCTTTGGGAGCCATTATTCAGCCTACTGTAGTAATTCTGATCCTAGAGCTGGAGGAATGAAAGCACTCCTCTGAGAGAAAACTGAGTTCCTCCTGCAATGGGGATCTTAAAGACCAAGAAGAAGATATAAACTTCTTTCAAGCATTATTTGAAGTTTACTTCCTAACTTATCACTGATATGTGGCCCAGGGAGAAAATAACAGATTAAAATAAATTAGATACATAAATGTCACAACGGGTTTGGCAAATTAATAACAAGTTTGTCAGTAGATAAGGGCTGTCTGCATCTGATTATTACAGAGCTCTTGTTAAGTACAGATTGCTCGGAACAACAGCTTACAGTATTTATGAAAGAGGGACTGTGAAAATAAAATTTCTTTTGGCTTTCATCCAAATAAACTTATGCTTGTGAAAGAAAGCAATGTTAAAATTGACTCTCTGCCCTGGCTGGTATGGCTTAGTTGGTTGGAGCGTTATCCATGTACCAGAAGGTGGTGGGGTTGATTCCCGGTCAGGGCACACACCCAGGTTGTGGGTTCAAGCCCAAGTCTGAGTTGGGGTGCGTATGGGAGGCAACTGGTCCATGTTTGTTTCTCGCATGGATGTCTGTCTCTCCCTCCTTCCTTTCTTCCTTTCTCTGAGATTAAAAAAGGAAAAAAAGTCAACAGTCTTTCAAAAGAATTGAAAGCAGGGACTCGAAGAGAATGAATGTTCTTAGTGACACTATTCACAACAGCCAAAGGTGGAAACAACCCAACTATTCATCAATAGATAAGTAAACAAAATATGGTATATACATACAACGGAGTATTATTCAGCCAGAAAATGGAATGAAGTCCCAATATATGCCACAACACATTGAGAAGTATCTAATTATTGTCCCTTTCTGTAGCCACTTTACAATCTCTTTATCATTGACAATTTTACTACAATAAACGTCGCTGAAGATTATTTACTTGGGATTCTTTGGGCCTCATATCTGTGAATTGCTATTTTTCACCAGTTCTGGAAAATTCTTTGCCTTTATATCTTCAAATATTGTCCCTATACCATATTATCTCCTTAGAGTTTTGATTAAACATAATATGGCTTTTTCATAGCTTTTTAAATAATAGCTTTATCTAGATAGAGTTCATATACCTTAAAATTAACCCCTGTAAGGTGTACAATTCAGTGGATTTTAGTATATTCAGAGTTGTGCAACCACTACCATTTCTAGTTCCAGAACGTTTCATCCAGAACAAGCCCTGTTCCCATCAGCTGTCTGCTGAGCAGAAGGTAAGTTTCCATGCAGTCCCCAAGGCTGGGACAGTTCGCCTTTGGTTCATGCTACAAGGTTGTAGCCCTTTATTCTCCCAGCTTTACAAGGGGAGGATTTCCCAGAAGACTGAACCCCTTGGGCAGCAGTTCCGAGGCTCTGTCTTTTGTCCCAGTGCCACACTAAAAACTGAAGCTTATGATCACTACTTTAATAAATGCTCTCAGGGCCATAGAATCATTTGTGCTCCTTTTATCTTTTGTCTTCTGTTCTGATTTTGCCCTGATGATCTCTTACTATCTTGTCGGCTTCCTGTTGCTTTTGGAAAGATTTTTAAAAATTACTTTATGCAGCATTTTTCCCCAATAGGAAGATCCAACATCTAGCCAGCCATATTGCCAGGTCAAACTTTGCATAATTTTCCAAGTTGCTTGAAATTATCTATAAAAATAATGTGCCCATCATTTTCCAAATGGAAGAAACATTGGAAATATGAGACTATGCAACAAGAGTGGGCATCTTATCCTCTCCTAGTAGGCTACTTACCTTTGTGCATACAGAATTAAGTGCTCTAATTCAGATGGTAATCATGAAATTGTACTATCAAATCTTCCATGCAGGAAATTACCGGAAGCAACTAACTGCATTCCTCATTTTGTGATACTACAACGTGCCTCAATTATCCTAACTGATATAAAATTCTCAAACAAGAGTTTTAAGTAAAAAATAGTTACTTCAAGTTGGTAGGAAGGGGAACATGGAAACATGACTTTAAAATAAAATAACAAAAAAGACTGATAACCACTGGTTATAGTTACACTAGTTAGTTAATATAACCAAGTAACAATGATCACCTTTTGGGCTACTTGCTAATACACTTACTTTGCTTCAAGTTGGATTATTCTTTTCCTGTGATACACCAATGTTGTGGGCTCTGCTGCAAAAACTTTAAGTCTTCCATGAAGATAAAATGCAATTCTTTGGTCTCTTTTTATTGTATCAATGATGGCATCATATTCTTTTTTGATTGAAGTAAGAATGGATTTGTATGCAGTGACATATTCTATTACCTGAAATATGATTTTTCTGCCTATAGTTTTGAATTTTTTTCTGGAACACCATGGATCAAAAGCCTTTCAAAGTTCATTATAGATTATTTTTTTAAATAAAACATGATGAGGAATTAGAAGTCTCAAATATCACTGAGTATTAAAGAATATTTCCTGAATATGTGCTCTTTGTAAATTATTACAGTCCTGTGAGCTTAAATACGAGAGAAAAAATATCATATTTTTCTCTATTTGGTATGAACACATACATTATATAGTATCAGTTAAAACCAAAACCAGGCCTAATACTGCATTCCTATTCCCAAGATATCAAGTAAAACTGTAGGACATCCCTCATCACTATCCACTCATGGCTTCCAATGGTGTGAAAGTACAGAATATCTTTGGAAGGATAACAGAAGAAAATAGAAAACAGTGGATGCCTGAAGAAAAGGAAAGGGAAAGAGAACAAGCTGACCTTTAGTTGTATACTTTTCTTTATTGGTTCTTTTTATTTATGTATTTATTTATTTATTTGCTAATCTTGTGTATACAATACCCATGCAAAAACAAATAAACATTTAAAATAATTTAAAATTTACAGTTTTCAAATTGTGCTCACAAGGACTTCAGAAGGGACCAATGTATAAAGAGAACAGAGGTGATCAATCCAAATTTTCTCTGAAAGCCACAATTATGCATTCTACTCCTGCCACATCTCTAGTCTCTGGTATCCCCTACTAGTTCTCTGTTAGCTAGACAATATCTAGAAAAAATTATCCAGGAAGACATCTGGTCTCTCAAGAAATGGTATGAGATTAATTGATCAATGAGAAGTACCAGGAGAGGATATCTGAGTGGGAGATACTGGGCTTCTTTTTTACATGACTATACTACCTATCAACCCAATTAGGAGGACTGCCACCCAAGAACCCATAATAAAATAGAAGCCATGATTCTGTGGTCTTTCAAATTAAGCACCCTGCTGTTCCTGGCCATTGTCCACTCCACACACCTATGGGGTGTGCTACAACAATCCAAGACAGCTTGGATACATTAGTGGATAGAAAATGGACTTGTAGTGATAGATTGATCATCTCCCATATCTGTCTGCTAGAAGAAATAGGTATCAGGAGAACACTCATAGGAACTTTGGAGAATGCATACTAGTAGATATTGCGTTAAAAGAAAGAAGACAGACTGGCAGGCCACAGGTAGAATAGTTTTGCTTGATTCACAAAATATTAGTAAATTTTTTAATTAGTAAAATTTAGTAAATTTCACCTGAAAACCATATTTCCAGCTTCTCTTGAAAACTATGAAAAATCTACATACTTGGAACCACCATTCCTTAACAGCAACAAACAGCAAGAGCTTTAGACTGAATTCTTCATTTTAGACTGGTTCTTCATTTTACCAGTCTCCATGATTCCTCATTCTCTTACAGCCTCATGCCCTAGCTGGTTTGGCCCAGTGGATAGAGCGATGGCCTGTGGAATGAAGGGTCCCAGGTTCGATTCTGGTCAAGGGCACATGCCTGGGTTTCCGGCTCGATCCCCAGTAGGGGGCATTCAGGCAGCAGCTGATTAATGATTCTCTCCCATCATTGATGTTTCTCTCTCTCCCTTCCTCTCTGAAATCAATCAAAATATATTTAAAAACAAAAAGAAAAATGGGTATTGCTAAAACCTTGCAAAACAAAATCTAATGTTATATAAGCCACAGCATTTTCTAATCTCATCTCCATATTTCCAATGTTCAGTCTAGTCAAACCCCCTGTTTACTGTGCCTATCTACCTAGACCTCTAATCTACAAAGGATCTCAACTTAATATGCTAGGTCAGCAATTTCAACCGGTGTGCCACAGGAATTTTTAAAACATGCAATACTGACCTCTTTCCCTCAAAAAAAAAAAAAAAAAAAAAAAAAAAAAAGACAGCACCCAACACAATAGCCGTCCAGTGTGAATAAGTCAAAATTATACCTTTTTGTTGTTGTTAGATCAGCAAAAAATATATTATTTGGTGTGTTGCAGAATTTTAGTAATTAGTTTATGTGTGCTGTGAGATGAGAAAAGTTGAAAATCGCTGTGGTAGATCAAATCTAGACCAAGACTTTAATGATACCACACATAAACCCAAAACAAGGTTCCTGCTTACAGCCCAATCCCTCACAAATCAGTTAACACTTTCAGATGGAGGGTCAAAATGTTAGAGGGCACTGCTAGGTGTTGCTCAAAAACTGATAAAAATGTTAAAACTGATAGCTTGCACTTAAGCCAAAACAGTTGAAACATTCATCAACTGTCTAGTAATAAGTGCATCATTGCATTTTCTCCCTTCTCCCCTTTCTAACAAAAGAGATGAACTTTTCAAAACTGATAGATGTAGTTAAACAAGCAGTGGTGTTACTAAAACAGGAGTATTAGTCATCAAGAAAGACCATTTCTGCCTGGCCAGCAGAGCTCAGAGGTTTGAGTGTCGACCTGTGAACCAGGAGGTCACGGTTCAATTCCCGATCGGGGCACACGCCTGGGTTTTGGGCTCAATCTGTGTGAGGTGTGCAGAAGGCAGCTGATCAATGATTCTCTCTCATTATTGATGATTCTATCTCTCCCCCTCCCTTCCTCTCTAAAAGCAATACAAATATTAAAAAAGAAAAGAAAAGAAAGACTATTTCTTCCCCATGAAAATCCATTGTCTTAAAAGCATTGATACCTTATCAAAAACGTTTCGGTATATGATGTAATATTCATCAGCAGGTCCTTCCTCATTGCAGCCCACTCTTTTAGTTTCTGTAATTATGTATCTCTGCATACTTTCCAAAAATTCCTTATCACATCTACTAATGATAGGAGGGATAACTGTATGTTTATTTATTCCTTGAACCGACATGGCATAATCTGCAATACTTATTCAACAGAGAAAAGTTAACTCTTGACTTGCTTTTGCAACAAAGCCAAAACTTTCAATAGGCCTGAAAGAAAAAAAGACCATCAATTAATTTAAAGCTTAAAATAAATTGTCAAATATTCATCTAAAGCAAATGTAAAAAAATGTGCCATGGATCTGAGATAAACAATTAACACCAGTCAATAAGGAGCTCTTATTAACCGAGCATGTACAGGGTATCCCCCCAAATGTATATGTATACACTTTGAATGATTATAAAGTCAGTTTTCATTTTCAGAATTTAAAAGAATTTACAGAAATAATTTTTTTGTCAACATCTGTTTTCAAACTCGTGACCACTCTGGTCCAGGCACTGCTAGTAACACAATGCAATGGAATCGCAAACATCAAGAATCATTTCCTTCGGTATTTGTGGGCCCACAATTCATTGACTGTTGCTGGTTTTGTACCATAAACCTTATCTTTTAGGTATCCCCATAAAAAAAATCTAGTGGTAGAGCGGAGAAGGCAGTGAGACAGAGATGGGCACAATAGGCTATAAAAGCCCAGAGGAGCATCTCACTAGCCTAGGGGTCCTCAAACTTTTTAAACAGGGGGCCAGTTCCCTGTCCCTCAGACCGTTGGAGGGCCGGACTAAAGTTAAAAAAAAAAACTATGAACAAATTCCTATGCACACTGCACATATCTTATTTTGAAGTAAAAAAACAAAACGGGAACAAACACAATATTTGTATTTGCATGTGGCCCGTGGGCCGTAGTTTGAGGACCCCTGCACTAGCCTGTGGGAGAGAGCAGGAAAACATCAAACATCAGGGACAACATCTAAAGGAATCACAACTAGGGCAATGCTTAAGTTATGCCATATTTATTTATTCAATAAATATTTAGGCCCTGCCAGCGTGGCTCAGTGGTTGAGCGTCAACCTATGAACCAGGAGGTCACGGTTTGATTCCAGGTCAGGGCACACGCCCGGGTTGTGGGCTTGATCCCCAGTGTGGAGCATGCAGGAGGCAGCTGATCAGTGATTCTCTCTCTCATCATTGGTGTTTCTAATCTCTCTCTCTCCCTTTCTCTCTGAAATCAATAAAAATATGTTAAAAAAATATTTAGGGGCACTTTCTGTGTGTCTGCCACTATCTTAGACGCTAGAGAAAGAGCATTGAACAAAACAAAGCTTTTAACCTCCCAGAAGTTATGTTCAAGTAGAAAGAGAGACAACACAAAGTAAAAACATAGCATGACAAATGGGGATAAGTCATATGGGGAAAAATGAAACTGGGAATGAGAGAGTTAGGAGGGTGGGAGGGTGCAATTTTATATAAAGCATTAAGTTAGGAAAAGAGGAAAGTCCTCACTGATAAGTGGCATTTCAGAAATCTGACAAAAGCAGGTCATGTAGATTCCTGGGAAAGAGTGGTTGAGGCAGAGAGAGCATCAAGTCCAGAGGCCTCGAGGCAGTAAGCAAGTCTGAGGAACAGCAAGGCCAGTGGGGCCGGAAGAGAATGAGAAAGGCAGAGAAGAAAGAGATGAGGTCAGAGCTGCAGCAGCCAGATCAAGTACAGGGCCTTGAAGGCAGGACCACTACCTGCACATGGGCACCTTTGTGCAGCTTAGAAAATGGTGCCCTTTCTCTGGACCAGTGGTTCTCAACCTTCCTAATGCCGCGACCCTTTAATACAGTTCCTCATGTTGTGGTGACCCCCAATTTCATTGTTACAAATTGAACATAATTAAAGCATAGTGATTAATCACAAAAACAATATGTAATTATATATGTGTTTTCCGATGGTCTTAGGCGACCCCTGTGAAAGGGTCGTTCGACCCCCAAAGGGGTTTCGACCCACAGGTTGAGAACCACTGCGTCTGGACCGGTTTGGCAAGAGGACTGGAGGCTCCAGTCACCCCAGTGCTGGAGCAGCAGCCTCACTTACAGGAATTTAGGCTTAACTCTGAGTGAGAGGGGATGCCATTGGAGGACTATGGGCAAGAGTGTCAGCTGATTTACACATTTTCAAAGAATTGTTCTTGCTGCTTTGTGAAGAAAAGGGCCAAAGCCTGAAGAACTGCTAGGAGGCTACTGCAACCATCTGGGAGAAAGATAATGGTGGCTTGAATCAGAATGCTAACAGTGGCAGTGGTGAGAAGTGTTCTGCATATAGACTAGTGTTTAAAAACAAAGCCAAGAGGACTTGCTGAGGGGATTAGATGTAGGTATTAGAGAGCAAAGATGACCGTAAAGTTTGTGGCCTTACAGATTAGAAAGATGGGAACTGCCGTTTATGGAGATGCGAAGAGCAATTTCATGAGATCAGGAGTCTGGGGCTTGCCTACTGGAGATGTTGAATAAACAGCAGGATATGTGAAGCTGGAGTTCAGGTGGGTAACCTGAATGAGAGGTAAGTTTATAAGCCATTTGCATAATAAATGGTATTCAAAAGTTATGAGACAGAAGGAAAATGACCTGGGAAATGTAAACAAAGCCAGAGCAGAGGTCCAAGGACTAGTCCTGGGGGAGATACTCCAAAGTTTAGAGGTCTGGTAGCTCCGGAGGAAGCAGCAAAAGAGCCTCTAAAAGGGTGTCCAGAGGTACAAGTGAGAGGGGTATCCTGGAAGTCAGGTGAAGACCGCGTTTCAAAGGAGGGAGTGATCAACTGTGTCAAATGCTGCTGACAGATCCTATAAGATCAACTGACCATTGAATTTAGCAACATGGAGGTGATGGGTGACCACAAAAGCTATTCCAGTAGAACGGTAGGTACAAAAGCCTGAAAGGAGTGGGTACAGTCAAAGAAAGGGGAAGCTTTGGAGACAGTGAGTGTAGACATCTCTTGCAAGGAGTTCTGTTGTAAAGGTGAAGCCTAGTTGGAAGCACCTGGGACAAGGAATGTTCCAGGGAGAAGAAGTGGATTCCTCATCAGAGCCACAGCATGAGGGGGCCCATGTCAGGAGCTTCAATTCACGCAACAGTATATATAAAGCAAGTAATGCGTTTGGCAGATTAGGATGTAAGGGAGCCGGAGGCCGAATATCAGAGTAAGGGATTTGGGTCTCATTATGAAGGTGAAACAGAATAATGACCTAACCTACTTTTTAGAATACTATTTGGAGACAAGAGTGAAGGGTGGGTTAGAAAAGGAGAAGGACTAGAGGCAGGTTAGAAGCCAGTACTGAACACTTCCAGGAGATTAAGGAGGGCTTGAATTTGGGGATGGGCACAGGGATAAAACAGGAGGGCACCAGGAGGGGGCCCTGGAAGGAGTCCGTGGTTTGTGCAGCGGAGGAAGGCGGGTAAGGACACAACTCCCTGCTGACTCCCGCCTGCCAGGCGCGTCCCACACATACTTCCTCTAGGGATCTTCGCCAACGTACAAATTGGGAAATTCTACAACTAAATAGCCATCCCGCAGATTTCTTTCCCGTATGGGTTCATTTTAACATTTGAAAACCGGGCCTGAGATTTGCAACATATTAAACTGTCTCACACGGCAAACCAGGCTCAGAACTTTCCTTACACCAGCAGAGACTTGGGGGCTGAAGGCGGAGGGACTACAGGGCAAAAAAGAAAAAAAAAAAAAAAAGGATGAACCCGAGCTTTTGAAAATATCACCCATTTTTCAGGTTGCCTGGAGTTGGCCACAGAACTCCTTCCCTTGCAGGCCCGGGGAGCAGCGGTGGAAGATGGCTTGATCCTCCGCCCCTAACCGCCTCCGTGAGGAGGTGAACGCTACCTCCTTTCCACTACCCGTCCCCAGCCTCTTGCCCTTTCCTCCTAGTCATTTCCGACCCGTTCCCACCTTCCCTGAAAGCATCACTTCGCTCCGCCCTTCCTCCCTCCTCACCTCAACCCCTTTCTCCAAAAACCCCAAATCCAGTGCGTGGAGTTAGTTAACTACGGCACGCGGGGGTGTGGAACTGCATCCTGGGACAAGTAGTCTCAGCCCAAAGAAAGCAGTGGAAACTACAACTCCCAGAAGACACTTCCGTTTCCTCCTCTTCCTCCATGAGGCCCCCTTTTTAAGACTCTCTTAGCCACGTCCCCTATAGGAGACAAGCCTTTTAAAGACATTTTAAGTTGTTTAAACCTACTATCTCTAGAGTCTAGCATTCTGGAGGTTAAAATGAGAAATAAGCCCGGCCTAGAACGAGAAGAAATGAGGTCCACGAGCTAGTCTGGCATGTGGCTAGACAGCCGCGGTGATAGCAGTCAGGCATTTGGTGTGGTCGCCTAAGAGGTGGGCCTGCGGCGGCGGCGGCCCGGAACCGTGTGGGCCTGCGCGGTGTTCTTCCTTTCCGATCCGCCATCTGCGGTGAGTGTGTGCTTCTCGTCGGCTCCCTGGCCGGCTTCCTACCGGCCTTCCCCTCTTGTATCCCCAGGGGTAACTCGTTTCTTCCTTCTCCTCCCCCTCAGGTGGGGTCGCCGCCAAGATGCAGATTGGGGGGTGAAAACCCTCACGGGGAAGACCATCACTCTCGAGGTGCGGGCCAGGTGGCGTGAGGGAGCCGAGGCCTGAGGGAGGCCCGGAGTGGGATCTCGGACCGGCGCTGCTTTAGAGCGTGTTCCCGAGTCCGGGTTCTGAAACCTGACCCTGAGTTGAGAGCCGTTTGCCGAGCAGGGCAGGGGTCTGGGCAGCTTTTGCACGTGTAAAGGCTCGGCCCTCACCTCGGCGGTGCGGGCCCGCGGACCCAGGCGGGGTCCCGGCAGGGGCGGGAGGCGCTCCGGCCGGGCGGGCCCCAGCACGTGTGGCGCCGCCGCCGCCGCCCCCGCGGGGCTGAGAAGTGCTCCCCGGATGCGGTCCTGGGGGGGTGGCCTGTCCGCTGGTGAGGGACCAGCTCTTGGGGAGGCTGCAGCCCCCCGCCCCGCTCGGCTCACTCGAATGGGGCGTTTATTCCTGTTTCTTCCTGTCTTACCATTACCTTTGCATTTTAAAACTCTTAGGTTGAACCCTCGGATACGATAGAAAATGTCAAGGCCAAGATCCAGGATAAGGAAGGCAAGTGCTATTTTCTAGTTCAGAAACTGTAACCTCCGGTGGCCTCGGCAGCCCGGCGCTTGGGTGGGGAGGGGGGGGGGTCAGGTGGGTCAGTGAAATCGTGGGAAATGACGGGTAGACGAACGTTTCTGAGCTGGGAACCGAGCTGCAGTGCAGTCCACTGAGTGTGCATTTGGCCGAGCTGTTAATTCCTCGTCTGCAAATGAAGGTGATGTTAGCGTGTCCAGGTTAAGTACCGCCAGCGATCACATGAGGTCACATTAGTGAGCCTTGAAGCCAGCCTGCATGGCCGGCAGTGAGAACTCAGGGCTGCTGGTGCCATTGATTCAGGATGGTTATTACTTCGTAAATCTTGAGCAGAGGCTGGTTCTGCCGGGACCTAATTTGTTGGTGTTTTGTTTTGTTTTTCATTAGGAATTCCTCCTGATCAGCAAAGACTGATCTTTGCTGGCAAGCAACTGGAAGACGGGCGCACTTTGTCTGACTACAATATTCAAAAGGTCTGTTAGAAAGAGCGGCCCTTTAAGTATAAGCCTTAAAATTTCTGACAGATCCCTAATGCTAAGACTAGCTTTCGATGACTCAGCTTTCCCAGGTAGCTCCTACCTGAACATTTAGGAAGCACTGCTCTAGGTTCTCGCGGTCTGGGTCGTGTCCCCTGGAGTAAGTTGGTGCTTTAATCTCCCTGTGCACTAGCTAAGAATCAGACTCTCCCCCCAAGGCTCCCTATTGCATCTCATTTAGAGGATGCGTGGTGCTGGCTTCCCATCCTTGGTGGAGCATGAGCGTGAATGCGATTGTTTTAAAGCTTGCTTCATGCTGCTGCCTTAACAGGAGTCCACGCTTCATCTTGTGTTGAGACTTCGTGGTGGTGCCAAGAAAAGGAAGAAGAAGTCGTACACCACTCCCAAGAAGAACAAGCATAAGAGAAAGAAGGTCAAGCTGGCTGTCCTGAAGTACTACAAAGTGAGACAATTTATTAATAAGTTTTTGCCTATAGGTTAATTGTGTTTGTATCTCTGGTTTCAAACTCCTAGTATAAAATTTTTTTTCCTGTTTAATACTTGAACTTTAGATAATGGGGATTAGCTTTAGCTGCTGTTCCAAACGAGGGTTTTGATTTTGAAGTCGGATCTGGGTTCAGGTCTAGCTTAGTCTATCACTTGCAGGGTTTGATTTGAATGAGCTCTGAACTTGTTTGGTATAGTAATTATCTGTGAGGCTTTGGGATGCTTTGGGTTTGTAAGTACTAAAAACTACCCTTGTGTGACTAAAAGGACATATTTTGATTCACTTAAAATAGACTTCAAAATATGTTGTAAGATTATCTAACAGCAGGTTTGTGCTTTTTAGGTGGATGAGAATGGCAAAATCAGTCGCCTTCGTCGGGAGTGCCCTTCAGATGAATGTGGTGCTGGAGTTTTTATGGCCAGCCACTTTGACAGACATTATTGTGGCAAATGTTGTCTGACCTATTGCTTCAACAAACCAGAAGACAAGTAATTGTATTTGGGTTAATAAAAGACATGAACTAACATTTGATTGTTGAATTTTATTCCAGTGAATTTTTTTAAGCATCAAAAGTTGATGGATCAAATTGATAAACTATACCTTGGCAGAAGAATTCCATTATATTTAACTAGAGGCCCAGGTGGGGGGGTCCCTCAGCCTGGCCTGCACCCTCTCCGGTCCGGGACCACGGGCTCCTAACCGCTCACCACCTGCCTGCCTGCCCGATAGCCCCTAACTGCCCTACACTGCCAGCCTGATCACCCCTAACCGCCTCAGCCCCCGCCACCATGGCTTTGTCCAGATGGATGTCTAGAAGATGTCAGGGATCAGCTCTCTAGATAATAAACCAGTTTGTGTTTGTCAGTTTTTCTTTTTTACCTTAGTACTATGACCAGATAATTTGGGGGGTGCTGCCTTGTGCATCTCTGGCTTCAATCCATTTGTTGCCATTTCCATTACCACAACCGAAAGTGTATGTAGGCATTCCCACATAACCCCTGGGTGAGTGAGAACCACCTCCCCCAATTGAGAAACACTGATTTGTGGGTTGGTGTTAAAACACTGCCTTAAAAAGGGGCTATGATAGATTGCATACATGGGAAATTTAAAAGGCTGAGCTGCAAATTGACAATTCAAAAATTCATCCTGAGTTCCTAGGTTGTTTGGCTGGGATGTTTGCTGTCCGCAGAACTATGGAATACACTACCTTCAATGTTGGGCATGAACTCGAAATCAAACTCTGCTTATTAGTCCAGTTGGCACTGAGAAATGTGATTTCAAGCAGTATTTGATTGGTACTATATCTTTGAAGCTCAATTCAGAGAGGATTGTTTCTTTTGGTACCACTCTTAAGTAAAAACATTCATTTGAAGTTACCTTCAGTGATATTCCAGTAATTCCCTTTTACTGTATTAACACCAGGATTTCTAGTTGAAGGCATCCTTAAGTTTTCCTATTTTGACAGAATTACTTGGGCACTTACCAATAGTGAATTCTACCCTCCAATAAAGCAAAACTAGATCTATTAAAAAGCAAAATATTTAATCTTTATATTTTTAATACAATTTTAAAATCCTGGATCCCAAGAGGTCTTGGCTAGAACTTCATTTTCTTCATAACAAACAATTCTATCTCCCACTTTGAATTCTATCATTTCTTCATCCAAACTGAGACCACAATCCATTCCAGTTTTGATGACTGAAACGTCATCTTTGTGGTGTTTCAGGGAGGTTAATGAGCCTTTAAAAAAAAATAAAACATGGTTCATAGATTCAACAAATAATAGGCACTTCACTAAGTGCTATGTAGTCTGGTGTTAGGATTTGAGTGAGATAAACCAAGATAAAAGACTGCAGGCAGAATCAAGAAAGGATGGAAGCAAGCAAATATGATGCAGAGTAAACGACTGGAAAGGTAGTTGTGTGTGTTTTTTTAGAAGTTTAAAAAATCAGACTGGGGGACTAACAATTGGAATCAGACCAAATGAGGGAGGGAATCCAGCAAGAAGTAAAAGATTTCAGGCAGTTACAGAGAATTGTCAGGTTTTAGTGACTGGATATGTTATCAAAACAGATTTTGATGTTGCTTACCCTTCCAAATAATATCTCCGTTACGGATTAACTTAAATTTTTTTTGCTTTTCTAGCTGTCCTTTTTGGACTCTGCAGCCAGCCACAGGAACTTTTTTCTTCCCTTCTGTTATGGAAAAGGTAGCTAGTATAGAAGCCTCACCTGTAGGAAGAAGAGAACATTAAGTACAGAAAGTAAAAATTTCAGAAAAATACATAATTTCTAACATTTTGTAAAGTAAGAAAGATGATAAAAATACAAACTCGTGCAAAAAAATCCTGGTTTTCTTTGACTCCGCCAACTTTATTTTCCTGACTAATATTAGAAATAAAACCCAGAAAATTCTTGGAAAAGAAAATACAAGTGCTTACCAAAAGAGTGAATAAAAGAAAAATGGGACTCCTTTTTTTGGCTGAGTAAAATGCACTAGAAGGTGATAACTGATGATAAGATTATTTAGTACAATTCCTGTCTAGATCTTCATGAAAACAGTTGTCAGCTGTCCCTCGATATATTTTCTAGTCTATGTCATCTAGATCACCTGATTTATTTTTAATATCATCACTGGTCATTTATATACTAATTCTGTGATTTAGCTTAACTTTTTCACTAACTGAAAGCTAAATTCCAATAATACATTATAATACATGAATGAATTTTTTAGGGTTAGTGTTATTTGGTGCTTGCTTACTGCTAGGAAACCTCATAACTTAGTTTTAGAAATTGCTCTTAGCACAAGAACATACAAACCTCTGTATGATCATGTTTAATTGGTGAACTGTGTAAACGGTATATAGGAGAGAGCTCCCTATACTTTTCCTGTAATTTTTCTGGGTATTTAAAACTACCATCAAAATAAAAAGTGTAAAATATCTGTATATGGGGAGGAAAGAACACGTAAAATGATTCAGTCATCATGAATTTAGCCTTTAATCTGCCCAAGGAGTATGCTAGAGAATCTTTTTAATATTTAATATTTAAACGTGAAGTACATTTTTTTCTCATGGTTGATGTCCCTGCCAGCTCCAGGACAAAATCAATGGCTCCTTCATGACACCTTAATAATCTTTATGCCTCCCACCCTAGTCTAATTTGTTTCATAATTAGCTGTCCATGTCTAAACTTGAGGGCAAGTTCTTATTGCCTTACGTGCCTTGTATCCTCAGGGCCCAAGTTTTTCAGAGGACAAGCGTTTATAACACCTATGAAGTTACTCTGAATTCTCATGTGTGGTATTCATTTTTTCTAGAACACAGGATATGTATTAGAACAGTGAACATTTCAACAGTAAAATACATTTCCCCTAAACTTTACTTTCAAGTGTCATTTACAGCACTTCAGGTATGAATGTCTAAAAGTAACAGTCAGTGAACACTCACCTACTGTGTGCTCTTCCACAGTGCAGGGCAATCTGCTGCTCAGTTCTTCCTGCAAATCTTCAACAAGACGGTAAATGATTTTGTGAAGTTTAATTTTTACTCCTTTCTTTGCAGCTGACTCCTGGATAACTTTGCCTGCGTTCACATTGAAGCCATATATAACACCTGGCAATCAGAAATATCAATAAAATAGCACAACTATTGTACAAAACAGTGTGTCTTTTGAATAGAAACTCAAATCTAAATTGTTTTATTTCCTTCTATGTAATTAAAAGCTAGTTGGGGAGAGAAGAAATTCTATAATTTTTTTCTCATGAAAACTAGTAAATTTTCAAATTAATAAAAGGACTTTATAAATTCTACTAGAGGCCTGGTGCACGAAATACATGCACTCGGGAGGGGTGGGGCAGTTCCTCAGCCCGGATTGCGCCCTCTCCTAGTCCGGGAGCCCTCAGGGGATGTCCAACTGACGCTGGAGTGGGCCTAAGCTGGCAGTTGGACATCCTTAGTGCTGTTGCAGAAGCAGGAAAGGCTCCAACCACCCCCGCTGAGCTCGCCAGCTGTGAGCCCTGCTCAGGGCTTCTGGCTGAGTGGCGCTCCCCCTGTGGGAGCGCACTGACGACCAAGGGGCAGCTCCTGCATCTGCCCCCTGGTGGTCAGTGCATGTCATAGCGACTAGACGTTCTGCAGTTTTGACGATTTGCATATTAGCCTTTTATTATATAGGATTGTGGCTTAACAAGGAAAATTTCTTTATTGTTTTAAAAATCCATCCATTCATCTAAGAAAGATTATTTTAAGTGCCATAATGTGTAGGCAGCATGCTAAACAAAGCTTTGATTTTTATAACCAGGGATATAAGAAAAAAAAAATGGGTTGAAATATACATTATTTTTATAACAACTCTATTATTATAATCTTATTGTCCACAACTTTTGCGATTTATTTACTCTTAGGATTTTAGCTGCTCAAAAATACTTAATTGGTAAAGTTCAAAAGTTATTTAAGAAATGAAACAAGTTCTATGAAGCTGTACATTTTGCCAAATTAAAATTAAAGTATTGCCCTGACCGGTTTGGCTCAGTGGATAGAGCGTCGGCCTGCGGACTGAAGGGTCCTGGGTTCGATTCCGGACAAGGGCATGTGCCTTGGTTGCGGGCACGTCCCCAGTGGGGGGTGTGCAGGAGGCAGCTGATCAATGTTTCTCTCTCACTGATGTTTCTGACTCTCTGTTCCTCTCCCTTCTCTGTAAAAAATCAATAAAATATATTAAAAAAATAATAATAAATAAAATTAAAGTACTTAACCTTGGGAGAAAAAAGCAAAACAAAAACCTTGGGGGAAAATCTTACATGAAAAAAAGTTAATGCAAACAGCTTAAGAGCAAAACAACCACCTTGAGAGTCTCATCATTAAGAAAGCATTCAATACATTATATTACACAGTACAATGCTGGGCCAGCGATTTTCAACCTTTTTCATCTCAGTGACAAACTTAGCTAAAAAGACAGTCATGAGTTCCCTTTTTCTGTATCATAAGTTTGACAAATAAACAGTCCCCTTGCCCTAATCGGTTTGGCTCAGTGGATAGAGCGTTGGGCTGCGGACTGAAAGGTCCCAGGTTCGATTCCGGACAAGGGCATGTACCTTGGTTGCGGGCACATCCCCAGTGGGGGGTGTGCAGGAGGCAGCTGATTGATGTTTCTCTCTCATTGATGTTTCTGACTCTCTGTCTCTCTCCTTCTCTGTAAAAAAATCAATAAAATATATTTTTAAAAAAACAAAATAACAGTCCCCTTTCCATCTAGGCCAGGGGTCCTCAAACTACGGCCTGCAGGCCACATGCAAATACAAATATTGTATTTGTTCCTGTTTTGTTTTTTTACTTCAAAATAAGATATGTGCAGTGTGCATAGGAATTTGTTCATAGTTTTTTTTTTAAACTATAGTCCGGCCCTCCAACAGTCTGAGGGACAGTGAACTGGCCCCCTGTTTAAAAAGTTTGAGGACCCCTGGTCTAGGCATTTAAAACTAAAAAGAGCTTTTTATCTAATTACTAAAAACTGTGGCACACCAAAA